CACACACACACACACACACACACACACACACACACACACACACACACACAGAGAAATCTGGTTCTCAACAGAGCAAATGCATCTACCATCAAACAGCCATGAATCAAAGATATGGAGATCTTGACCTTAGTGTAATGAGGTGCTAGCTAACGGTGCATAAAAATGATGAGTGTCTCACGGTCACTGTATGCTCATCTCATTAAAAACCAGCAAACATGTCTGAGTGCTATCATGAGGAAAGATAAACACAGCTATCCTGCGGCTATATGTCTTTGATACATGTGGTAATTGGATTTAAAGGATAGTGTATGGATTTTAGTGAAGTGAGTTAATCCGTCTGACACTGTGCTTGGACTGCATTTTGCAAGACACTGTAATGACAAACTGCCCGTGAACAGGGCAATAACACCAAAGTCCTTCAAAGAATAGCATTAGCTTTAGCAAATTTAAATGTAGAATCAAAAAATCTTTCCTGGAATTCAGTTAATTACACTGCAATCAACATTAACTGGAATGTAAAATAGGATAAAATTTTAATAAATTCCTTAAAACCAGAGGTTTTTTTCCAATACCACAAGGAATAACAGAATCAAAGAATCCAGGGCGTTGTGTGTTGGTGTTGGCATAAAGCTCCAGACGTGACACTGCAACATCCATCTGCGCTGGAGTACAGACACCACTTTTCAGGTGGTTGATGTACTTCTGCTGAGTGGGTAGAAGCAGGATGTATCGAGGCTCAAAGTAGCTCTTCTTTAGACCGAACACACCCTGTGTCAACACACAAACAGTAGGAAATTCAGCATGTTTTCTGCAACACTCWGAAATTGTCTCACACGTAACTTTTACATTCCCATACCTCCAGTTCCGTGTGCACACAACAAGCCAGTCCCTCTTTAGCCACCTCCTCTACGGCATCTCTGGTGAGGCCGAATTGATGACCCCCATACTGCATGGTCTGGATAAACTTACCCTTACACCAAATTTAGGTCAATGAGGAAAATGGGGAAAAGAAGACAATTTTATTTCCACACTATTAAACTGATGGAACAGTTGCAATTTCACAAAATGAACCAACATAGACAAAAACTCCAGCATGTTCTGTCAGGCTTAACAACCTGAGGACATTTGTCCACCTGGGAAACAAACTTTTGACCAGGTAGTCGGGGCAAAAAAAAGAAAAAAAAAACTCCTAGTTACTTATTACACGTGACCTCCTGACCTTTTTGCAGCCGTCTTTCCGAAACAGTTTCTTTTGAGCAGCAAAATTTACTGCTTTTAAAAAGCTTAAGGGCAAATCCAATACAGATAATTAAATGGCAATAAAATTCAATTAAATCATAATAAATAAAACAGTAATGAATGTTATGAGTTTAAGAAAAAAAGAATATTATTTTATTTTGATTTCCTTCATGTATTTATGTGCTCAGAGACAGAATGGTGAAAATGTTTTGTAATGTCAACAATTAAACACATGGACACCCTGTAGTCTGATTATCCAGCCTTTTTTTGTTTCCTGTTAGAAAAACAAATCAAGTAAAAGACTTGTTGCTGCATTGTGAATTTTTTACATTAATCAGGTATGCCAAGTGTTTCGCTGCTTACAGGAAAGCACATCTGAAGACTTAAAAGCAACAACTGACAGATAAATAGTGAGAGTTTGAAGATTTAGGAATTGAAAACAGGATGGCAATAAAACAGGTTCCTGGCAACAGCAGAACACAGGGAGGAGAAGAATGCAGGAATCAAATAGAGGGAGGGACAGATTGTAAAGATCCTTTCTGTTGGAGAGCAGACAAAAGGCATCAATACCTGCATCAAAGCTGTTCCTGTGTGAATCACTAAAAGACCAGGACTATAAATAATCCTCCACCAGACAGCAGACAAGTTGACATGAAGACAAGATGGAAACAAATGTGCCCTTGAATTTTAGACACATTGGTTTTCCTCACCTGTATGTTTAAAAATCTCAGTTTCTTTTCTCTTTTAATTATTTTAACCATAAAAAGGTCTACTGAGATATTTAAAGTTTTAAACAATTTTACCAGTGTGAACATATTGACTGCCGTCAATGCCTTAAACTGTTAATTATCACCTGCATTAAAAGAGCTGTAAGAGATGCTTTAATAATTCGATCCGAAATTAAATTAAACTAATCCTGCATGTCCGAGAAGCTTTTCAGAAAAGCTCCATTTAGTTGAAGGTATCTTGCTCAAAAAAAAATAAAAATAAAAAATCAGCCAGTTAAAGTGAAATAATTTCACCCAAGAAAACTAATTATCTCAACAACACAACTCATCAAAGCCAGAGAGTGAAATCAATTTGAAACTCGCTGAAGGAGAAGTGTCAATCTACAACCCTGAAAACACAACTTTTCAAAAAATATTGCATATTTAGTTGAATTATGGGCAAGAGTTAATATTTATGGGTGATTTATGACGCTTGGAACACAAAACTATTTTGAGTCAATAAACCACAGGGAGAAAAAAATGTTCATTTGTTCTCAGGGCTTGTGACACTAAGACAAATTTTAACTCAACTCACCATGTAAATCATGTTCTGAAAGTCTTCTTCACTGACAAAGTGGTAGTCGGTTCCATTCTTCTCTCCAAAGCATGGTTTACGTGTGGTGTGACAGATCCTGATGAAATGAGATTCTAATATTCATATTATCACAATAAAAAACATTATTTATGTAGCATTTGTCCTAATAAAGTAACTGCCAAAAAATTTTAATAAAGAAGAAAGCACTTTGTGTTTATTTTTGAAGGGAAAATAAAGTGCCTAAGTTCCCAGAAATGGCTAGTCAGGTCAAAAATCATTCCATCTACAGATGATATAAATTTACATCTGTTATGAATGAAAGAGGGCCACTACCAAAACCAGACGTTTAAAACTGTTCCAGACGGTCAAACCAACAACCAGGTGAGATCATTTACATGCATTTTTGTTGCACATTTGAAAGAAATTGTTTGATGATTTGAAGGTGAGGCTGATATTTTAGATAAGACAAACCAAAAGTTATGAAATAAAATCAGGACAGACATCCTGCCCTAATTAGTGGAACTCAGGGGGGTCCAATCCTGGTCCTTAAGGGATGCTGTTTCTCTGCTCCAACACACCTGGGGTCAGATTTATAAAGGATTGCATGGAAACCATACAAAAAGTGAACGTACGACCAAAAGGCGAAAATGGCATAAGCCAAAAAATAAATAAATTCAGATTTATAAAACAGTGCGTACACATGTTTCTGCACACCTTTCCTTTATGGATCACAGCCACACGTCAGAGTTTGCGCACAAGGTCCCGCCTCAGGTTCTGCCCTCTACACACCCACACTCAACCACAAACAGTCAATGCAAAGTACCTCATGAATGTTAAGATGTATTTAAATCAGTCAGCTGATCAATGTCAAAAAAGTGATTGGCTCAGACACGCTCTGTCGTGCGTCTGGAGGTTGACAGGTGCTGACAGCTGCTCACGTGAACAGAATGTCTGTAAYTGACACAGATTTTCCCTCTAGAGTAATCTAACAATTTTTATCAAAAACTCAGCTTCAAATTAATTTTCTCTCAGAGCCTGCAGGACGATAAAACAAGAAATAAAATTAAATAAGTCAGATAAAATTAAGTTCACCGCTCTTCTCCCCTGTCACTCCCACTCCTGCCTATTATCTGCGGCTGACCGACTCCTCACCCCCCACCCCGCGCACGCGCATGAGAGGTACGGACATTAAAAAGTGAATCTTTTATAACACGTCCACGCTGGCGAGTGCATGCACACCCAAAGCGTGACCATAACCAAGCTTTGTGCTGTCGTGCTCCGCTGAAATGTCTTGTCGGGGAGGGGTCTGTGGGTCAGGGTCGTGAGGAGGAAGGAGATGCATGGAGATGCGTGAACTTTTATTTAAGATTTAAGTTTTTTGTTTCAAAGGTCCTCATGGCTCAGCAGCAGAAGCATAAATAATACTGTTAAGAAAACTGATGATAAAGTTGAATAAAATCTAAGTCTGATTCTGAAGGTAAATTAAATCTCTGACAGTGATCATTACACAGTGTGGCTCTAATTCCTCACTTCACCATCTGTGTCGCAGTTTCCCGTCTCCAAAATGAGCGTACACATGGGTCAGAGCTGGCGTGAGGCACCGCACATTTTCACGTCAAGTTTGGACTTTATAAATCACAACCTTGGCGTGAAAAGTGGCGTACGCAAGTTTCTGGACTCATTTTGTGAGTATGCAAGCTTTGTAAATCTGACCCCAGGACTGGACAACCCTGATCAAAAGTCCCATAAAAGTTCAAGATTAAATCTAAACATAASCAACTTTAAGTTCCAAATGTGCAGATCATTTTAGGATTACACATGCTAATTTTTCACACGTATTTGATTACTGTCTAAAGAACTTTAAAACCTGACTTATAATCTACACGCTTATTTGTACTATTTTGCTTTGCTAAATACAAAACAGTTAAGCCTAAAAATCATAGCAAAAATGTSAATGTCTACAGACAGTTCTCATTAAGAAAATAGACATTTTTTGACCTCATTAATAAATTGACATCATTTTGTTCATTTAAATTACATCAGAGGACATGAACTTTTGCTGTAGTTAACCACTCCAGCAGCATCTGTGTGTGAAACTGACCCGTGACCCAAGTATGCACTGAACTCTTCACACAGCCTGTGAACCAGCTCCTGCCTCCCACAKCCTTCGGGACCTGTCAGCACAAACACAGGGTAGGGGGAGTCTGCAGCGGCCGGCGTGCTGCGTACACAGAGAGTGAGACACACAGACAGGATTCCATTAATTTTTATTTTGCATATACATACCAAAACTCCAGATCCAGTTATTTTCCTTTTTAAAGCAATGCGATGCTAGAGTTAAAACCTCATTGTTCTTAAAAGCAATTCCAGCAGTCAATATAAACAGGTGCCTAGTGGGCAATATGGATGTGCTTTTTCTAGTAAGTGCAGAGGAGAATAGTAAATTGACTGTAGCTGCAGCTTTTATTTGCTGATGATGGATGTTCTCAAAAATAAAAAAGTGCTTATACATTAACTTTTTTTCTTCTTCTTTTAGAAAGTAGATAACACGAGCGGCACACAGACAAACTGCTGCTCAAGTCGGAAAACAACTCTTTGGGTATTTTATTTTACTGCCTGATTATTACCTCATCATATTTTATCATACCACCAACAGTGCACTCTCTAACTAATGCTTAGCACCTTACATCCAGCACACATTTTATTTCTCAGAAAACAAACACTAAATTGTWACGTTTTTGTGCAAACCTGTAGTGTAGAGCCTGGGGCTGCATCAGATGATAAACTACATGGGTCATGTGATCCCTCGCTGCCACGAGATCTAAGGGAGGGTCATACATGTTCACTGATGTCACCTAGGATTAAAGATTTTATAGTGTTACATGAGCAGTTGTCACATAAAGAGATTTAAAAAATAACTATACCTTTTCCTCAGTGCTGACTTTCACTTGATCCAGGATAGTCAGATGTTGAAGGTGGAAGATGAGTGTCAGTCTGTACTCTGGCTCCTCCTAGAAATTACAGTTATTGCACAGAAACAACTCAACAATAAGCATATTTTATCAACTTTTAAATGGTTTAGGATTATTGTCAGTAAAGATTATGGCTGCCTGCACGGGGTTTTCCTGCAGATTGAGGTCCCTCAGCAGTAAAAGACTGTGAATATGCTCAACTTCTTGAATCTCTGTAATCTGAAACAAAAACACAGAAAAGTACTCCTTTTAATAGTCTATTAATTTTTTTATATAGTAAAACAGTGATAAACTTGTTTTCATCTTGAGAGAAAATTGCAAAAAAWTATAATTATGACAACAAATAATTTCTAAGGTCTTTCTGGATTATCTTTGATCTATACCTGATTTTTCTCCAAGTTGATGGAGCCTAGAAGGTGGAGGCTCTGGAGGCCTGAAAGGCTGGTGATGCGATTTAAAGACAAATCAAGAATCTGCAGGGTCTTTACACTCTCCAGCCCTTCAGTTCTTTCAACTAGGTTCCCCTTCTAAWTACAGGCAGGAAGGAAACGAACATTAAACATCACATATCGATTACGAAAAACGTGCTTGAATCAAATCTCAACGAAAAAGGCTCAAATTGTTCTGCTGTTTAGGCTCTTAAAACTTTGTGTCTCCTCACTGCCAAGCTGAGTGGCAAACTGCAGAAAATCCTGACACGCGAGGACTGACAGCGAAGCAGCTGGCGAGGAGCTAGCACAGCACGCTAACGAACAGAAGAACAAGACCTGGGCACTCCCCACTTGTCAGCCCGATTCTCCCGCCAATCCACTGACAAGAGTTGTTATCTAGCTGTTTGGCCACACCTCGCACAGCTCCTGCCAAGCACGCTGCCAAGGCAGAGGGTCGCYGTCAGCAGGGGTGTGTGACCGCGCTGGTCCCGGGAAGGACCGGGTCAGTGCTGTGATGTGCTGGCTGACAATGCCATGCTGTTTAGGGTGGGGGTGTGTGAAGTAGAGGGGGTCAGGGATAGGATTAGATGAACGTTGGATGGACAGGGCATGCGTGCATGCTGAATTTGATCCAGGTTCACTCAAACACAGCAGCTGCTCCCGAAGTATAKAAAAAAAAAAAGCTGCAGACGGAGGCAGATGCTGCAAGACTGATAGCTGCTGACAATGAGGGAAGGCTGATAAAGGACAAGACAAACACGTGTGAGTACAGACACACAGGCAAGCAGAAAGACCAAGAAAAAGACAAAAAAAAGACCTGCTGTTGGACCATATGTTAATTTTTGAACAAGGGGCCAAGATTTGATTGAATCTAAAAACGTAAGACAAACAGATAACATAAGAAAAGACAAGTGACACGGAAAACACACATAGGCAAACAAACGTTATGAACACAGCAATACATGTCAACAGAAATAGCTCCAACAGCTGGGAAAGACAACTGAGATTTTTATTTGAAATTACCGGCTTGTAAATATTAGCTTGTATATATAAAAAATAAATAAAACTGGATGTATTTAAGGATATGTTTCTGGATATAATAACAAACAACCAACTTACAAGGCAGAGGTGTGTGAGAGGCAGACCGTCAAGGCCGCTGATCTTTGTGATCTTATTATGTGCCAGACTGAGATGGGTGAGTCTGCAACACTGCTCAAGACCACTGATCTTGCAGAAGCTGTTATCTACGAATGTGCTTGGTAAGAAAAAACATACGTGAGCACGCGCTGGTTTTTCATGACTCGGAGGAAAGAGATGCTACAGGTTTCTGTTAAATACTTGCACATTTTATTATTAAGATCACGTAAACATGTATCAAACAGTAAGGATACAGTCTAGATCCAGCTTACGAAGGGATTTAAAGGCTGACAAATCTTTCATTTTTGTCATAAGGTTGTAAGAGAAATTGACCTCCTGCAAAAAAAAAAAAAAAAAAAAAAAAAATACAATAATAATAAAATAAAAAAGGTACACCATTACTGAAAATCTCAAAAACCCAAACCATACATTAGTGAATAAAAACTTTAATTAAACCCGATCTGGGGCTTCAGAGTTAGCGAAAGGTTTTTGTTAAAGTTCACTGTCATTCAAGGACAGTAAAGGACTTGTAAGCATATTCAGAGTGACTACAGATGGGCTATGGAAATCCTGGCCTATCTAGGGGGAATAAGAGAGTGAGGCCCAAGCCACCAATCAAATATTGCCTTATCCTGTCAGCTCAAGGTCCTGTGCTACCTGTAGGTGCTGGAGAGGCTGGAACGCAAAGAAGTCGCGGATTTCGTTGTGAGAAACATCCAGGACGGCAAGGCRGGGCATGTGGCTTAAGCTGGATAAATCTAGCAAATGTTAGAAGAATAATTTCATTTAGATTAAACCAGCCTGCACAGGTTTAGTCAAAGTCACAAAATGAAGCAATGATTACTGTGTTACCTTTGATTTTGTTGTGTGGCAATTCCAACTTTTGAAGATGARTATAATTGCGTAACACAGATAYGTCACYCAGACTGCGACTCTTAAGCGGGGGRAAAWWMMAAAAAAAAGTTGCAATTATCCWCACAAAATTCATTTGCAAAGCAAGCTAATAAATAACAAAACTTCATAATCGAATAAATTAATTTGTCTCTGTTAAACAGTAAGTAGATTTGCCTTTAAAACTACAAATATATCTTGTGCAGGTGTGCATCTCACAGGTAGTGAAAGGTAACAGATCTGCTGCAGCTTCATGCAGAAACATTCAGGCTGGGATAAACAGCTGGACACCATTTCAGCAGTTAAAACACCACCCTTTGTGACATAAAAAAACATTTTTTTTTTTACAAGAGCAGGAATGTTTCAACAATGCATACAAGGTCTTCATTGTGAACATCACAAAATGCTACAGTTCAGAAAAGCATGTTTGTGCATACATATTTATGCATGACACGCAAATATTGATTCTACTTTAACAAGATGCTCCACATTAAAACTGCTGCTGAGTGATGCAATTAATTTGTAAAATATAATCAACCATTTGACCTTGCTGTGCACTTTTAATTGTCCAGACCTTAATTTGTAACAGGGTTATCTGCTCTAATGAATTTCTATATTCTACACATGAGAAGCTCTCCCTTTGAGTTATTACTGTGGACCACTAACGGTGTCACACAATTTCAGGACAATACTTTGTAGTTTTCAGGCTTTTACTGAAGAAAAAAAAAGGCATCTTATCTTTACCTCCATGTTTTTGTTTGCCTGTAGCTCTGCGCAGCTGGAGCTTCTTTCTGCTGATGATACGTTCACGAGCGAGTCTGTCCTGAGGTTTGGTAACGAGAGAGACAACTTTTTATTCATTGTTTCTTTCATTAGTTCTTATTTCTGCTTAGRAAAAACAGGCGACTCGACTGACACACTAAAACACAGTTAACACTAAAACGTAAACCATGTTTAAGGTTTTCGCTGAAGTACTTGCACTGTATGCAATGCTAGCCAGGGAGTGCAAACACTCGTCGCGAGGCAACAAAGTTTCAGCTGAACAGCATTGTGGGAGATGTAGTTTTTTTTTTACACAGGAGTGACCATTACAATTTTTTTATAGTACACTAATTTTCAAGCAGCAAGATATTATGAAAGCCCAATTATTTATATATATA